CAAGGCCTGATGTCGTGGGCGAGGCCTGTGTTCTCTTGCATTATGTATGGGAGAGGAATGTGTTCAAGTGTTCCTGCCCTAACTGTTAAATCTGACTTTGCTGTTGGCAGCAGCTGGACATATCATGACTATCAGCCCCAGTGCAAAAAGATAACATTTCACTTTCAGCCAAAGCACGCTGAAGAACGAACGGGCTGTTTGTGAGCACATTTTTCTTGTATTTGCATTGTTTTGCTTGTGCTGTCTCTGAACACCTCCTACAAGCACGGCAAGATTATTTGTATGGCATCTTTCAACAACAAGGCAACACCAAATGCTTTAAAAGAATTTCGACATGATGTAAAAGAAACATGAGTCAATATAAAAGGTGTGATATAAAGTATAATATAAAATGACACATAAGAAATAAATAAATAAATAAGAAAACCATAGTGTCATGCTGTCCACTGCAAGACAGAACCAAATGTCCCAATATAATCAAGTAACTTTGAGACCAAACTTTCCTTTTCTAAGCTGTGAGACTTGTAGGTTTTTGGTTAAATTCTAAAAAAATATTGTCTGAATTATGAATTTTGAGTCAAACAATACTGTGTACTTTGGACTAACATCGCATTCAAAAAGCCTCCAAACAAAGTTTCTTCTATATTTTATGAGTGTGTTTGTCTCTTTAAAAAATATGTATCTTTTACTTTTGTACATTTCTATTTCTTTTTGTGCTGTGACCTTCTTTATTTCCTAATAATTCCTTTAATCTTACCTATTTTGCAACATTCCTGTAGCAGTACTAAAGCTGTACAACTGATGATGAATAATAATAATTAGGTAACACACTAACTCTCTGCACATTTGTCCAGTCATTACCTGGAAACATTTCATAGGGAAGTTAGGTAACCGTCAGCAGCTGCACCCACTGTAGCTGACTTATTTGCATGCAGGTAAATTTGCTGACTGAGAGCTCTGTTAGTTTACTGTTCACTTTAGCACTCACTGACAGATTTTAGCGATTACTTCATCAGCCTCACTCTGTTATCTGTCTGAACTGCTGATCCTCATGCGGGAGCCTCCTGACTCCTCCTGTGTGCAGGTTAAGGGCTAAAGGTGACAGAGTTGCTGCTCATGAGAAGAGTCTGTTCAGTGTTACATCTGTATCGTTCCTCTCCTACTCTGTGCTGTTAAAAATCTATTGAAAGACTATACAAGGGCTTTTTCTTTATATATACACATATTAGCCAATTGACCACAAGTAACACAGCTGTAAGTAACTGCGTATGTAGCCGCAGGTTTCTATTTAATTTACTAACGTGAGAAACAACTTTTAGAGCTGTTATGTCTTTGCAGGGGGCAAAGGACCCTAGTGAGGATTAATCAGTGTATAGATAATGGATGAATGGATGTTTGTGCTGAGAGTTGAAGCTGTGCAGTAATGAGGCGAGCTTAGCATAAAGACTAAAAGCAGAGAAAAACAACCCACGTTCAAAATAGGGCAATATAATAAAAAAAACAATCTGCAAAATGGGAAAAGTTGTTCAGTACTGCAATAAAAATATGATTGATAATAAATAATCAAATATTGTTGTGTATTAGCTACAAAGTTCACATCTGCTTGAATAGACTACGCCCACTAAAAAAAGAAATGAAATGTGTTATTCTTTTTTTAAAAATGCACATAAGTAACCAACCAGATCATTAAATTTAGGATATTATAACTATAAGAGAAAGATTTGCCCTGCCGCTCAACCAAAACATCATTTGACATTTTCCTCACTCCTGTCTCCTTCCACAACCATCATGCTCACTGATCTTGCAAACACCAAACTGACACCAAATAACGGTAGCAGATGGTTATTGTGTATGTTTCTAATTTGCAGTTAGTGTCCTCACTGACCTGCCCAGTGTTTGCAGTTTCTCTTTTTTGTTGTCTGTCTGTTTTCTCTCTGCTACTCTGCTCTTCCTCCACTAACCCCTTACCCAGAATCATTTGTATTTGTTGGGTTTCTGCCTATGACATAATATCGTGAGGTCTTTACCTTAGTATGTCAAGTGCCCTGAGATGACCTATGTTTTAAATTGGTGCATTTAAATGTAATTGAATTGAACTGAACCTATCCAGAGCTCCAGCTGACAGCTCAAATGTTTGTATGCTGAGTGTGAATGCATGATGCAGGGAAATACAATGTTTTTAGGCAGTCTTCTACTATGTGTTTATTGTGCATGTTCATATCAAAATGACAGCAAAAATTTGAATTCATGTTCAGCAGTAGTTCAAAAAAGAAAGGTTTGTGTGAAAAGATTAGCTTCAGTTACATTTTTTGATCTATTTTTGAGTGAACGACAGGCAGATGTCTTGAAGTCTTGTAATAAAGAAAATGGCAAATCAACAAAATGTTGTGTGTCCATATTGAAATACAGTATTGCAATACCAACAGCAGCTCCCCCTAAAGTGGTAAACTGTTATTTTCTTCTTCTGTTTTATTTGACATAAAATACACAAGGCACAATGTGATAATGTGTGAGGATTAAATGTGTTGGTGAACATATTTATGAGCATTGACTAAATGTTTTGCCAATCGGACACATTGTTCCAGGTACTCTAAATTAGAACTGAGTGTTACAGAAACTCAGGTAAAACTAGAACCTCTGGGTTTTGTTACAGAAGCAAGAAAACTCAAATCAAAATGTCATTGACATTTACAACTATGCTACCAACTAAGCATGCAGCCTTTAAAATCAAGGTCATGTTCTTTGCTTCATGTATTAAGATAAGGACAACAGTTTTTTTTGTTTTTTGTTTTTTTTAATGAAGAAATAATCCAATGTTTTCACCGTGTGTTTGTAAATACAATTTCCTATGAGCCCTAGACATGGCCAAGAAACTGCAGTGTCACTGGAAAGTGGTGACACTGGACAGTGATGGTAATGTTCACGTTTTGCAGCTTGGACGTGGGACGGAGCTGGCATTAAAATCTGAAAATAAGGATATGCGCTTCTCTAATTTCACTGCTGTTTTAGTCTCAGCTGCTAGAACAGGTTTGTCCTGTTGCCACTTTTAGGTCACATTTGTGCAAACTCTAAATACACAGGAGACCAGCTTTGACTTTGCAAAAGCAAACCATTTCCAAATCCCTAGATGCATTTTCATGCACCTGTTTAGATCGGTGGTTAAAATATTTGTGTAACAGAAAATGGTTAAAAAAAATTTTTTAAAACATCAGAATTATTGCAAAATTGGTGCATTAATACATGCAAAACTGGCCAAAGTCCAGTAAGAACAGACTTAATGAACAACCACCTGCTGTGCACATATGGAACACATCTTCCAAGTGAATTTCTGCAGACTAGACAAGTGGTGTAATGACAACAACTCCTTGGGTGTCCACAGCTCTACTTGTGCTGTCTACAAGTGAGAATAATCATTTCTTAACACTACTTTTCTCATCTGCAGTAATTCAGAGAACTCCACTCTATAAATGTGCAGCAGGTCATATTTACATATTATGTGTATGCATCCTACTGCTACCACGGAGCATACGCACTATAACCCTTGTAGCCTAGCTGCTGCATTGACTTAAATTTTGGGCTACACGCAGACTGTGGTTCACACAGACTTTTCCAGACTTGGGTGACAATATTTCTGTTACGTGGACCCTCACAAAGACAGGTAACACCGACCTCAGCGCATCAAGCTGAGCGAACTCTAAATATTCGCACAATGGCAGTTGATAAAAACCGGCCTTCATTAACATTGTTAATTACCGCTTTTCCTCAAATTATAATTCAGGCCCCACTTAGATGTTCTTATTCATTATCATCAGCTGTTGCCACCATTATGATAATGATGATGATGATGATGATGATGATTATTACTATTATTATTACTATGATGATGATGATGATGATGATTATTATTATTATGATTATTATTATTATTATTATCATTAATTGGGCTGCAAGGTGGCTCGGTGGTTAGCACCATTGCCTGGCAGCTAGAAGGTCGCCGGTTCACATCCCAGTGAGGACACCCTTGCGTGGAGTTTGCATGTTCTCCCCGTGCAGCGTGGGTTCTCTTCGGGTTCTAAGGCTTCCTCCCACACAGTCCAAAAACATGTTGAGGTTAACTGGTGATTCTAAATTGTCCATAGATGTGAATGTGAGTGTGCTTGGTTGTCTGTCTCTAAGTGTAGCCCTGTGATAGACTGGTGACCTGTCCAGGGTGTCCCCTGCCTTCATCCTAACCTGAGATAGGCTCCAGCCCCCCACGACCCTAGTGAGGATTAAGGGGTGTAGAGATAATGGATGGATAGATCATTATTATTATTATTATTATTATGTTTTCGAGTAGAAACACTGGCTAAAAGACAACAGATGTAGAACATGGCAACTGTTAATGATTTTACATAAAAATTGACATTAATAGAAACAAACTTCTATATTGCCCAGCCCTTCTCTAAATAATCCACAGACCTCACTGTGAACAGCTCTCAGTGGAACTACTTTCTGCCAAAGATGTTTGTGTAGCCTTAGTGAACCGTCCCTGAGAGAAGTTTGACTCCTAGCAGCAGAGTGAATGTATTTAGCTGCTGACTCCCTAAACAGCTCTGCACTGGAGCCCTTCACAAAACCAGTGAACCTCCACATACTCCCACAGAGCAGCCGAAGGGTGTGTTAAAGCCGGGCAAATCCCAGAGTGAATGTACATCAGGGTGGAGCTGGAGAAACAAGCACAAAGGCAATTTCCCCACGAGATACAAGAGTGAATTAACACATAGTGTACTAAAGGTTAAACTGCGAGTTGTGCTGTCCCCATCCAGCACACTGTCTCCCTCGTCTGAGGTGGAAAACTGACAACAAACACAGCTGAACCATCCACTCTACACTAGAGAACGGCAAAGTGTCAGATGCTGAAATGGAAAGGGAGGACATTTAACACACATGGAGGCAGAGTCAGTGTCATGCAGAGCAGAGGTTTTAGTGGGTTACAACAAGGAAGTCATTCTAAATACCTGGATGATGAGATGGCAAAGTCCCCGCCATCAATGAGCCGGATCTTGCAGAAAAGCACTCCGTTGACAAAAGGCACTGCTGTCAGCTCCTCCAATGTGAAATGCACTTGAAATTTGAACTTCTTCTTTTTCATTAAAAAAGACATGGTCCCCAGCTGCTGGAGTGTGCTCATGGTGTGAAGATCTCCAATGAATGAACTCAGAAAAGCAGTGAAGAAATACAGCCTAAGTCTATTGGGGCTTCAAAGTGAAAGGTGAAAATCCTTCTTTGCTTCCAGGTTAATCATTTCTGAAGTGCTGTTTGGACCTGAAATTGAAAGGAAAAGCACACATGTAGAAGTTATACAACCAGATCAACTCTTTGAGATTTCTGCAACAGTGACAGCTGTGAAGATCATGTGGTGCGTTTGTTATTTCTTCCCCACATCGCAAATAAATGACAACACCTCCTAAATACACCTAAAAACAGTGTTGCCTAATAAATGAGGTGATTTCATTAAATACTTCTGAACGGTGCCTAAAACTCTTTGTGGCTGCTTGTCTCCTCTAGGACATGAACAGACTCTCCCAGAGCCACAGCTGCCACGCAAACACCCACAGCCAACCTCGGTGCTTCAGCCCTCTGCTCCCACATAAAGCTCACCGCTGCTCGCTCCGCTGCTCCTCATGCCTGCTCACCGACTGGACCGTACAGCTGCACACCGCTGGACAGAACCGGAGTCTCGGTTCTCACAGTTTCTCAGCTTCTACACATCTTCAGCAACTTTTCGCTCCGCAGCAGAGACTTGAGTCAGTGAGAGTGGAAGCGGCTCCTTGAACGTCTCACGGGAACAGTTAGGGACCGTCCACAAAGTCCGAGTAGCGGAGTGGGAGGAAGACGGAAAAATAAAACTAAATATGAAACTGTTAACATAATTTGTTGTATTAATTGTGATTAATTCGTAAACGCCCCTGCTGGGCTTTGGCGATGCATAGATTAATTTGGAATGCAGTTTGATCTTCTTTAAGCATTCAAATCACATCATTTTATTCATTTAATGTCAGCTACCATGGGCTACATTTATGATTGCTCCCTTAGAGAGTAAGGTTATATACACTCAGCAACACAAAGTAAATAAAGATACTCTCATCATTAATTCAAAGCATGGTTGCAAATTTAAAAATCTAATTTACTGAATAGCAACTGCAAAAACACAAACTCAGACATCTGGGGTTTAATATAGTTCTACGGTCGGCCTCGCACTACAGGAGTTTCGGTCCAGTTTACCCCTTTGTCACTCTTGACAGTAAGAGGAGAACTCTGGGATGGGATTTGGGTCTGAACCACTGCTCAGCTCAGCTTATTTGGCAATGTGAGGGTTTTACACAGAAGCATCAGGAGCAGCGGATGCTGTTGTCAGGCAACGCTAAACATTCTAGCCCTTGACAGTAATGTTACATACAGATCTTAAAACTGAGAGCTAAAATTTCACCTCCAATTCTTGCGGAAGAGTATCAACCCATGTCCACAGCATCGTCCCAACCATTTTCTCATCCAGACTTGTTTAGCATTCTGCTTTTGTTTTTTACAGTTTTACAGCAAGTTGTTGCACCACAGTCTCCATTTTGCTTCCCCATGAGGTGATGTAAGGTGATGCTCGGCTCCCTGACTGATCCCTTTGGTCCGATTCTTAATGATATCCTGTTGTGTGGGATGCACCATTATTTTCCGATCTTGTCGTGGGTGCATATTTGTGACGAGAGAGAGGATATCTATGAAGTTTCTCCTTATGTGCATGATGCAACGTGATTTCAAAATCTGTTAGGATTTTAAAACCCCTGTAGTGTGAACACGGCCAAAGGCATCAATCCTGTCAGCTTGCAGGTTGGGACTTTCTGTATCACTAATCTTATTTCCTGAATGTTGTTTTGTTTTTTTATTTTAATACCCTAATATTACAACTTGCTATTATGTAGTGTAGAGAAGTTTCAGTGTTTTGGCAGATTTGCATGTGAGCTGGTGTGATTCAGCAGCAGCCATGGGGGAGCAGTGAGAGGAGAGAGGAGCAGAGACTTCATACAACTGGACCTTCTGGAAGGAGCAATGGTGTAGCGTTACATGTCAACCATTTTAAGGTGGGAAGAAATTATTTTCATGGAAAAACGTATAAATGCGTAACTTCAATACAAAGAGGTGACTTTTTTAGGGTTTGATCAACAACCAAACACGGACTTTAACTACTTGAAGAAAACCAGGCTGGAGATGTTGAAATGGCCCTCAGTGCCCCCTGACCTGAACATCAGTGAAAATCAAAAACATGCTGTGTGTGCAAGACAGCCAGAAAAGACCTCTAGGGTTCTGCAAGACGAGTAAAAGAACAGAAAGACAATGGTAGTTGCAAAAAGTTTGGACACTGTCATATCTGCCTCAGTGGGGTAAACTCGTCCTGTCTCTGCAGGGGGTGGTGATGCGGTTACAATGTGGTTAGTGGAAAACACGACATGCCATGAAGGGTTTCACATTTGTCAGTTTTTTTCACTACAGTAGGGTCAAAGGATCAAAGCAAAAGTGTAAGTAATTATAAGTAATTGATTTTTGGCCACTGGAGGGCACAACTCTACGGTAAGCTACAATCACAACGTGTCACCTTATAAAGTTTATAACAAAAAAAAATGTTCTAACATATCCAGCAGAGGTAGAGCAACACTGTCTTTTTAAAAAGGATTTCTGAGAAAACCGTTTCAGTCAAAGGTTAAAGTAAAATCCCTTTGATTTACCGTGCTGTTAAGAGATTGCAGAAATAACACTGAAGTTTTTTGTCGGACGTACACCAATCAGCAACAGTATTAAAATCAGTGGCAGGTGAAGTGAATGACTTTATCTCTTTACAGTCAAATGATGGAATATATCAGGAGGTAAGTGAACTGTCAGTTCTTGAAGTTGATGTGTCGGAAGCAGAAAAATGTGCAGAGCAAGAATCTAAAGAACTCTGACAAGGACCAAACTGTGATTGCTAAATGACTGGGTCAGAGCATATGCAAAACAGCAGGTTGTATGATGATCCTGGTATGCAGTGGTTAGTACCCACAACAGTGGTGCAAGGAAGAACATCTGGTGAAGAAGCGACAGATATGGGTGCTCAAGGCTCATTGATAATTACTGAGAGTGAAGGCTGCCCCATACTGACTCCTATCCACTTCACAAAGTGCAGATGAGCATCAGAACTGAACCATGAAGCAATGGAAGAAAGTGGTCTGGTCTGATCAGATTTTCTTGTCCATTATGTGGCCAGTCAGGTGTGTTGTTAACCTGCAGAATAGTGAAGAAGGTGAGCCAGTGGAGGCAGTGTGATGCTCTGGATAATGTTCTGCTGGGAAACCTTGGCTCCTGCATTCATGTTGATGTTGCTTTAAAACGTACTACCGACCTACACATTGTTACATAATGGTAGTGGTGTTCCCTGACAGCCTGTTTCAGCAGGACAATGCTCCCTGCCAGTGTTGACTTAGCCTCCAAATCTCATTCCAACTGAGCACCTGTGGGATGTGTTAGAAAAAAAGTTTAACTTCCAGAAGTTGCAAGGCCCCAACTCGCAACTTGCACGACACGATCTGCTGCTAATGATACCTGATACCACAAGACATCTTCTGTGGAGCGCTGGCCTTAATGGGTTGGAGCTGTTTTGGCAGCATGAGAGGGATCTACATAATATTTAACAGGTGGTTTTGTTGTAGCTAATTCGTCTGATCAGCTCATTTCACCTATATCAGTTAATTCTCTCTCACCAATTTGGACATCTTTTATACTTCTTTTTTTTTTTAAATACTTATCATCAACTGTTCCTACACATCTACACACTCTAGTCAGAACTTTTTTTTTTTTTTACCTTCAAGGGTCTGCTCACATTCTGCTCACTCCAAGCAATTTAGTTGGTTTAGCTGATGGGCCTGTACTGACAAACTGTACAGCAGGAACTCATCAGTAGAAGTGAAAGAGATGTCTTCAGGTGGATGTTGGCAGAGGCTGTTTTAATGTTGCTGCTTTTTACAGTGGAAAAATAAAAGTTTTGTGACCTTGCTTTCAGTCTTTCATACATTATTGTTTAACATCTGTGTGATCGGAAGTGTGTGGGAATCCTACTTAAAGAAGTACTGTATTTCATTTAACCAACAGATGTTCTCCCACTTCACAATCACCTCAAATCACCCTGCTGAGCCAACTTCAATAAAACTTGCTTGTACGCACTGACCTCTGCTGGTTGATCATCAGTTCTACATCCTGTACAGAACCACAGGCTCCTGACTTGTCTTTAAATCCTTTTCAGTTCTGAGGACATGCTTGGTGACAAAACCAGCTGATTGAGACTCTGGTCTGAAGAAAAGGAATTCCTCTTGTTCACTACAGGTGACTTAAAGAGTTAAATGTTCAAGCTACATCAGGGTGGGAAACTGGCATATTAGTATTAAAAACATCACAAGATCAGATCCATTGTATTAAATAACATAATTTTACTGCCAGACAGTAAAAAAAATGCTCTCAAAATACCCTTTTCACTGCTTTTGTTGTTCCAAATCATCAAACACACATGTTCTCCTAAGGCATCTCTTGACAAGTTTTTCACGGTTCTCTGAAGTCTGTGTACATGGTCCACACACACACGCACACACACACACTCACACACACACTCACACACACTCACACATACAGTGTCTATTGCGTCTCCTCAGCTTGCTGTGGAGGAGGTGGTGGTGTTTTGGGCCTGCTCTGCTCCTCTGTTCCTGCAACCTCAGCCGTTGCTCCTGCTACTGAGCTGCTGGGGTTTGCCACCTCAGTCCCGCTCTGCAGGAATTTGCGCAGGTCTTTGAGGGCTGGTCTGAGCATCTGCACTAATGCCAGCAGGGCAGCCTGGGTCCCCTCCAGGGCCTGGGCCTGCCTTTCCTGGGCAAACGCCTGGGCTTCCTGGGAACGCCGCATCATCTGTAGCAGCTCGTTCTGGCCCTCGAGGTGCTGGGCAATCTGCCGGATGTGGACGTTGGTAACTCTCTGCTCCTGCAGCAAGCGGGCAGAGTTGAGGGCGATGCGACTCTTCAGCTCCTGGGGTTTGGCCTGACTCTGAGGTGGAGGTGGAGAAGCGGAGGACGAGGCCAGCATCTCCACCGGAGCCTCAACAGCAGCCACCACAGTGGAAGTGGAGTCGCTCACAGTGGTGGTGCAGTACTCCACCACGCCTCCATCCTCCAGGGTGTGGTACGTTGTTTCAGCTGGAAATACCACAGAAAAGGTTGTTTTAGTTATGAGTCACTGCAAGAGAGTCTGTAAGCTATGGTTGTGGTCTACAAATCCAAAACACAAGCAAAGTTTAATTACCCTTGGGAAGCAAATATTTTCTCTCTGATATAAATGCTAGCAGTAAATACTCATGAAAATAACTAATAGGATTCAAATGAAGCAATGGA